GATCTGCACTGGTTAAATTTTATTAGGAAATGAAATAGTCACAGTCTCTGCCAATGTCTGTTCTTTAAGATATTAAGCTTCTCTGAACCTCAGTTTCCTCATCCAGATGGCCTTTGAAGTCTCTTGCAAATCTAGATCTATGATTCATTTTTAATTTTTCATCATCAAGAGCACATTTAAATAGGTTGGATTAAATAGAGAGGATCCTTCATTTTTGCTGTTTCCTTTAATTTACTGTCATCTTTTCTTTAACAAATTGATGATCTGGCTACATACAGATAACTGATCTGGAGATGACTCTTCATTGGTCTTCTGCCAGAATATAATCAACTCCATTTTTTGTGATGTTACTTGGTACTTATCATCAGGTACCCAACACTTCAGGATTCTTGAAGTATTTATAATCTATGAGTATGATTCTACAATTTTCTGACCCATTATTTTCTATTTAATCAATTAACCTATGACTATTCTTATTCCTTATTTTGAAATTATTATTTCTGACATTTTTTACATCTGCTCCCATGATGACTTTTACACTGAAGTCACCAAGTATTAGAATATATGTTTATCTAATTTGGAAGATTTTAACAGAATTCCTGTATCTCATCTTCTGCAACAGATGTTAGCATGCAAGCTCCATTTGACTTCACAGGAATCTTTTTGCAAATGTTTATTTATGTGATGGGTGAAAGATGAAATGACTGAGAAAACAAAGGTTTGAGCTTCTGAGCATATTGATTTATTAAGCAATGCATACCAATTGCACAACAAATTGGGACCAGGCCTCCTCAGCTTTCACACTGAACCCTGAATATAGGGAAAGACATTTTTATGCATTAAAAGCAATTAATCAAATAAGACCAAATAATTAGAGGAAAGCAATTAATGTGGTACAAACCAGGATGCAAAATTAGGTAATCTAATTTCTAATTGGAGGAAAGATTAAAGACTTTCTAAGTTGGGAAGGGGATAAGTGAGTTTTGAGAGTTGGAAGTTGGGAGAGTGAACAGGGGTAATTCCCTGAAATCAGAAAAAGAGGTGTCCCACATCCCCCCCAAGTGTCTGTATTTAATCAAAGGAACAAAAGAACAATAATTTGTTGACCAGTACAAAACCAGTTTTCAGATAAAATATACAGGCTGTTTAAGATGTATAATCATGAGAAAAATCTCTGCATCCTTCTTTGGATCTGACTGGGTTTCTGGTCAGCATAACCTAGGATCCTTAGTTAAGGAGGTAGAGGTGGCCCAAATTCCCAGCCATGTAGGGCTCTATTCAAACAATGCAATACATTTTGTTCATAATTTCCATAACTGAATAAAGTTTTCTCTCATGTGACAGAAATTAGACTAGACCCGTAATTGAATAGAAAGAGAACTGAGCTAGCTCCAGGCTTGAGTCACAAGATGGAGTCAGCGTGATTCACTTAATTCTCATAAATCCCTCACTTATCATGATCCCTGCAACAAGAAGTGACCACGTATCTCATGATATGATGCTTTGGGACTGTGCAATATAAACCATCTCTGCCAACTCATCTTTTTGCCTCTACAAGGAGAACTAGTCTCCATTAGCTTCAATTTCCTTTTTTCTTCTGGTTTCATGTATATCCCTAATGTCAAGATTTATACGATTAATTTCTTCCAGTCATATGCCCATTTATTGGTCATTGGACCATCTCACACTGAGAGTACCGACGGCTAAGTTAACATTTGTCGACAGGCTAAAAAATTCTTCATTAAATTCAAAATCATTAGTTTAAGCTGTCTTTTCTCCTCTCAATAAATGTTATGTCAGTTTCAAAGAAAGGATGGCTGTCTTTGACATATTCTGTTATCTGTTAACTAATGAGTATGAAACAAAAAAAGATGGTGGCCATATCTTGCTGTTGCCATAACCATGGAAGCAGGCTTATTGGTCCTGGGACAAGAAAGCAGAAGCTATTGCCAACAACTACAATAAGGGCACCAGTCTCTCTTCCTTACTTCCAAGTGCCTATAACCAGATAATTTTAAAAGAACAGGGCTAGCCCAAGTTTTGAGGTTGGTGTTTCTAAAATGACCATTATATTGAAGAATTGACTGTTAATGAGTATGAATGCTAACGAGCCAGAGATGACTTTTTTTGTAATGGAGCAGAGCAGCTCTTAAGAGCCTGGTTACCTGGGCTGTCTCCCCGTGAGTTCTTCCACCCTGTGTGTGACTCTGAGAAGGGTCTTGTGCAGTGGCCTGGACTATGAGCTGCATATACAAGCAGAAGACTGTAAGATCTTGGGGCACGTCATTCACCAGTGCGTGAACTAATGATGGTATTGGGCCACAAGATCAGAGGGAAGAACTAGGAGCAGTTATTGTTCAGTTATGTCCTACTCTCTGTAATCCCATCTGGGGTTTTCTTGGCAAAGATACTGGAATGGTTTGCCATTGCCTTCTCCAGCTCATTTTATAGAGGAGGAAACTGGGGCACACAGGATTAAGTGACTTGCACAGGGTCACACAGCTAGGAAGTATCTGAGGCCAGATTTGAACTCAGGTCTTCCTGACTTAAGCCCCAGCACTCTATCTACTGTGCCGCCTAGCTGGCCCCTAGGAGCAGTGGGTAGAAATTATAGTGAGATAGATATAGCTTAATATAAGGCAAACTTTTCTAATGGCCAGAGCCATCCAAAAGTGGAAAGGGCTTCCTCAGATGGTATAGGACTCTCCATCCCCAGAGGTCTTAAAGTAGAGTCCAGATTACTATTCCAGGGATGATATAAAAGAAACTCCTATTCGGGTACCACTGGACCAGATGGCCTGTGAGGTCCCTTCCAGCTTTGAGGTTTTATGATTTTATGATCCTTGACCTTCAAGGAATACACAGTACGGTCGGGAGAAAAAACAAAGACATATGAAACAACAGAAAATAATACAAGACAGTACTAATTAAGTGTGAAACTAAGATCCAGACCATTAGTGCCAGAGGCATTTAAGAATGAGAGAGATGAGGGCTGAAGCATTAGGGGAAAACTCCATGGAGTAACTAAGGATGAGAGTTAGACACTGAAGACTAGATAGGAGAGATCATTTCAGGAGAGGAGACAAAAATCATCCAAAGTGAGGAGAGGAAAGGAAGAGATATGGGGAGGATACCTATGGTATATAATGAAGACAGTGACGGGACTAGCCTAGCTTGGTCAAAGGGTACAAGATGGGAAATACTGGGGGATAAGAAGTGTGTGGCAACATGGGGATCAATAATAAATTATCAAAAGCTAAACAACAGAAAACTCGAAAGTAGAATTCATCTGACCAAACAATAGTTTATTTAAGAGGCTCCATGCTGAATGTTGCCAAAGAATTTCTGGCCCCAAGAAAAACCTAGCTCCTGTGAAGAGTGCTCAGAATTGTCTTCAGTACTGAGGCTGACAGCAGGTTTCCTGTTTTATCGCTAACCTTCCTGGTAGAAAGTGTATGTGGAAGGTGTGAGCAGCCAAGAGATGTATATGGAAGCAAGCCTCAGAAGCATAAGCAGTTTTCCTATAAGCATGGCTGTCAAACCACATCTGAACCATCAAGAGCAAGTGTCAGACCTCCCTACCCCCTCACCTCCTACCTCCTTCCAGATTCCTGGTCCCTCAAATATTCCTCCTTTAAAACAGATGTTAGTTTGAGAGAGACATACAAGAAGGAAGGCTTAAGAAGACATTTGGGATCTGTTACAGGCATGGCCTGGGAGATTTACAGTGCTCTACCTGTGTGAGGCTTCACATTACTCCAATTCACATACCCCTGGCAGGAGGCCCTTCTGGCCTCTCACATTCCAATGTCCTGCTCTTCCTGCCTCTTCACTGGCGCTAGTGGTGCCTTGACCACTCTGAAGGAGGGTGGATCAGAAAGAGAGAAAACAGTGAGAGGGGGCCTAGGGCTTTCCCTAGTAGAACCCAGGCCCACACTTGGAGGAAGTAGGGATGGGCAAGGGACCCACACTCTGGCTCCTTCAAACTTTGAATCTATGTGAAGTCAGGTTTAATCTAATTCAACCAACTTTTATGAATTACCGACTGCACTAGGTATTGGGGCACAAGGGTAGTTACCAAGTTTTTGAAAACATAACAGGAAAAGACGCCAACACAAGTGACTCTATTACAAGTGAGATAAGTACAAAGGAGATATCCAGGTCAAGTGCTAGGAGAAATGTGAAGAGAGAGAGATTACTTTCAGCTCATTTTGGGGAAGGAAGAGTCAGGAAGGCTTAATAGAAGACGTGGTGCCGAAGCAGGGCCTTGAAAGGAGAGACTGTAATAGATGAAGAAAGTACACAGGATATCAGCAGCAGAGGCACAGAGATAAGATAAGACATAACAGGAGCGGTTCTCAGAGTATGTCTCAATTTGGCAGGAAGGTAGGGGACATCAAGGCTAGTACTTTCCCATCTGAGGTACCTTACACCTAAGACACACACACACACACACGTACATATATGTATGTGTGTATATACCCATATACATATAATATGTGTAGATTCCACACATATGTATATATACATATATAATAGGTATTATTATATATGTATATACGTGTGTGTATATACAATGTATATATAATATAGCATATGATGTAAATGTGTAGATTACATACATATGTGTGTATGTGTATGTATGTATATACATGTATAATTATATCTCATAAAAGTATAAATGTACATATAATATTAATATATGTATTGCTTACATGTAATTGTACATAATATACCATATAATGATTTGTGTATATAATAATTATATTACATAATTATGTAATATAACTATGTAAATTATATAAAGATAAGTCTTGCACGTACCCAGCTTTTTATGGTGTTTGTCCTCATTAAAATGTAAGCTCTTGAAGGCAGGAACGAAGGTTGTCGTTTTGTCTCCTTTTGTATCTCCAATACTTAACACAGTTTTTAGCACATAGTGAGCACTCGATATTTATTGACTGACTAGCTAACTAGAAAGCCATATAAGGCTAGGCAGGTATAAATTTGAGCCAGATAGTGGAGGGCCTTGAATGCCAATATCACTCACCTATATTTTATAGGCAATGAGTGAGAGGGAGGGAGGGAGTCCCTAAAAGTTTTTGAGGACAAGAGGGGCATGATTAGAGGGCTGCCTTATATTCACTCAGGATAGCCTTGAAAGAAATCACAGGAAGGCTAAGCTGAGACACTTGTCTTGCTTTGGGGATCAAAAGGATACTTTATGTACTGTATTTATCACAACTTCAGATCTTTTTTAGCACCAGCGGACCTGCCTTCTTTCTCCCCAATACAATTGACTCTTTGAATAACTATCCAGCCACCAGACGCTAGAACAGTGAGCCCTCTTTCAAAAACTGAGGGGCCCAGAGCTCCCTGATTTTCAGTTCCCTGACAAGGGCTCTGGGTGTTGGCAGCTTATTCCGTCAGCATCCATTGGTCGAGTGTCCCCCTCTGAACTCTGAAGTTTCCTTGGGTGCTTTCTGCATCTCCGGCACTGGTTGACTTCCTTGAATTCAGCTGCTCATTGAGCATTGGGTGTTGAATAGCTAATTGTAAAGGGATAAAAAATCAAGAAATGTAAAATGGTTTGCTCAGCAAAATCACGGAAGATCAAAGGCTAAGGAAAAGAAAAACAAGGGCACTCCATGTTTCATACAGTGCAGTGGCAAGAGCAAGTGATTGGTCAGTCAACAAGTGTTTATTAAGCACCTACTGTGTGCCAAGCACTGAGTTAGGTGCTGAGGGTATCCTTACAGAGAATACAAAACCTTGCTCTTTAGGAGTTTATATTCTAATGGAGGAGGCAAATGTTTATATGTAAAAGTATATAATGAATAAATAAATATGAAGTCATTAAGGAAAGAGGGGACCAGCATTTGGGAAAATCCAAGGAGGAAGGAAATAATCACTTATTCAGTACCTACTGTGTGACAGGTTCTGCACTAAATGCTTTACAAACATTACTTCATTTGATCTACGTGACATTCCTTGGAGCCTCAAGACCACTGGTGGCCTTCTAGGTCCTTGGGTGTGGCCTTTTGACTGAGTCCAAGTTTTACAGAACAAATCCTTTTATGAAGGGGATGTGTTCTGTGAAGTTTGGAATCAGTCCAGCCACCCTTGAGGACTTATGGGACCATGTGTGGCCCCAAAGCTGCAGGTTCCCCACTCTTGTTATTATGATCCCCATTTTTTAAATAAAGAAACTGAGGTAGACAGAGGTTAAGTGATTTTCCCAGGGCCACCCAGCTAGCAAGTGACTGAGACCAGATTTAAACTCAGGTCCTCCTGACTCCAGGCCCTATACTCTATTCCCTGTGCCTTCTAGAGGTCTCTAGATAGCCATTATGTAGAAAGTGATGTTTGGGTTTTCCATGAAGGATGAAAGGTATACTGAGGTGGAGGTGAGTAGGGTGTGCATTCCAGGTTGGAGAATAGCCAATGCAAAGACATGGAGATGGGAGATGAAGCTCCATCTGTGAAAAACATAGAAAAAGCCAGTTTGGCTGGACCACAGGGTGCAAGAACTGGAGGAAAGTTTAATGAGCCCTGAACTAAGAGTCAAAAGATTTGGGTTGTAAGACTGGCTCTGCCATATACTGACCTGGTCACTTTGAACAAGTCATTTCCCCTCCAGGAATTGTTTCCTTAACCACAAAACAAGAGGCTAGGACTAGATGATATTCAAGGGTTCTTCTGGCCCAGAGATTCTGTGGTTCTAATTGTGTGATTACCAACACTTCTTGGCTCCTCTGTTCCCCTATTAGCACTAATGTCCTTTCTGTACCTTCATTAGCATGTGTGCCTTTCACCCACTTCCTGAAGCAGGTGGAGAGTACATGTAGGCTGGCCAACCAAGTAGAGGGATGGGTCTTATGCAACTCTGCTCATTTCCCTCCAATGTCGCAGCTTGCATATGGCTTCGATGCTTTCCAAGGCAGCTGTGTATATTCACAAAGACAAGGAAAGGATATATAGAAAATTAGTCTTGGGTCACATCCCGGAGTTTAAAAAAAGATCCCAATTTTAAGCAATCTTGGAATAGGTAGAAGTTAGAGGGAGTCCAATTTTAGCCCAAAGTGAATAAGAACTTTCTAACAAGAAATGACGGATGCTGCTCCAGCCTAATTGGATAATCAATGTTGCCTGACCTCCTTGCTGGCCATTTTGCTCTCCCACCAGCTTCCCTGGAATTCTCCCATCTTCATGTCTTCACATACACTATCCTCTAAGACTAGAACAGGCTCTATCCACATCTCTGCCTATTGAAATAATCTTCCTTCAAGGCTCAGTACAGGATCCACTCCTCCGTGAAGTCTTCCCTGAGCCCTACAACTAGAAATGGCCACTCCCTTCCTAGTCTCTAATTCCTCCAGTCCAGTCTTCACAGCCACCTCTGAAAGGAAATATCCCTGTGAAGCATTCCTGACACCAAAGATGGTTAACCTATGCCAGATAAGCCCAAGAGTCCTGGGAATAGGAGTGCCCTGCCCATCACCAACCCTGCTGCAATCTTGTCATTAAAGGCACAGTCCTTGTGGAGAAGCAGCAGAAAAATGCTTCTGCAAGTGAGGCAGCCCCTGCCTCCTCAGTCACCACAGCTACTGAAGGCCCAGAAAAGAAAGACCCACCACCAAAGTCTTCAGCACTGCTGCATCTTCAAAGACCAGAAATGGATATGGTTTTATCCATTGAAATTACATTTTTAAAAAATGTACATGCCCATCTTCCTCCTGCAGCACCCTGACGACCATCAAGTGTTTCCATGTGACATATGCTGAAAACTTCCACACATAATGTAGAATGTAAGAATTAGAATGTGAGCTTGATTGTCCATTAATGCTCATATCCTAATATTCCCAGTGCTCACTGCAGAGCTTTACACAGAGTAAGTGCTTAATAAATGCTGTTTCAGTCATTTATTCATTCTTAGTTAGAACAATCCTATGCACTTACCACGTTCTAACTTGCATTCTAGCTATTGCTGAACATATCTCCCTACTAAATTGATCCTTGAGGACATCGGGCAGTTTCATTAGTATACTGGACTCCTGAGCTCCATGGGAAACCTTCCTTAATCCCTCTAATTGTTAGTCTCTCTCTCTCTCTCTCTCTCTCTCTCTCTCTCTCTCTCTCACTCTTATATCACTTCTCTCCTTTCTCCCCCCTTTTCTCTTCCTCTCTCTCTAATCTCTTCTCTCTCTCCTTCCCTCCCCCTCTCTCGCTAGTCTCAGATTACCATGAATACACTTATCTGTGTATATCATTTACTCCCTCACTAGAATCTAAGCTCCTTGAGACCAGGGATTTAAAAAAAAATTTGTCTTTGTATTCTTGGCTCCTAACAGAGTTCTAGGGTTATAATATCTGCTTAATGGATGCTTGTTCAATTGGATGATACTGAAATGGACTTCATTTTTTTATCTCCATTGTCATGACCTGTAGTAGGTACTTAATAAAATGTTTAAATGAATTGGACAATAGAGAAGATTGCCTTTTGAGACTGTAAACTCCCTGTCACTGAAGGTATTCAATCAGAGGCTGGATGGCTGCGTGTCAGGGATACAGTGGGGAAGAATCTGGACTGGAACATCCCTTCTAACTCTGCTATTCTATTATTTGATGATAAGTCATGAGAACACTTTTCTGAGACTGCCTAGGAGAAACTTGAGGCATCTATGCCCTACCCCAACATTCAAGTGTTGAAATAGGAGAAGTCATGCCTGGACTGCTATTTAAAGACCAACCCAAAGATCCTGTCATTAAATGGGCTAAAGTCCATAGAAGAACAGCATGTCTTATTAGAGGCTAATCAGTGAAAGGAGAGGTATCTGCAGGTTTCAATGTAAAGTGGTTCCATGGAAGCACAGGGAACTCAGTCTAAGGAACATGAAGTCTTATGGAGATGTTGAAAGCCTCTATCTCACTTATCAGGAACGTATACCTCCACTTCAGGATCAACCTGAATACAACTGAACCCCAAACATGGCGTCTATTTCCTCCATGGAGGTGTAGTTTCCTCTAACTCGTTCTCCTCTTCAGAGATTAATCAAGAAGCTACGACCTTCCTCAGTAAAAAAAAAAAAAATGCTGCCAGATTCCCAGGATTTTAGCCCTTCATTTAATCTCACCTTTTGCTTGGGGTAGATGAAATGACAAATAATAACAGAAAAGGCAAAGATATTCAGCACTTACTTTGTTTCTATTTTTTTGCTAAGGAGAATGACCTCTGCGCTAGAAATAAAAATGATTAAAAAGAGTTGATACCCAAGAGAAATAAAGAAATAGTGAGAGAGCAACTAGCTGAACTTGATAAACTTAAGTTACCTGACATAGATAAACTACATCCTTGAATTCTGAAAAAATTGACAGTTTTAATTCCTGAGTCACCGTCAGTGATAAGGATCATGGAAAACAGAAGAGGAATCACAAACTCGAAAAAGGGATACATTGTCCTGATATTCAAAAAAGAGCAGAGAACAGTATCTGCAAACTATAGATCAATGAGCTTGACTTCATTACCAGGAAAATTCTAGAATGTATCATTAAACAAGCAGTCAAATATCTAGAAAGGGAAATAGTGATTACATGGCTTCTTCAAGAAAAAAATCATGCCAGACCAATCTCATTTCCTTTTTTGACAGGGTTACTAAACAAGTAGATGAGGGGAATGTCAGGGATATAGTTTATCTTGATTTTAGCAAAGCTTTTGATGAGGTATCTCAAACTATTCCTGTGAAAGACAGAAAGGTATGAGTTAGATCGTAATATAATCAGATAGATTCAGAACTGGTTAGATGGCCAGACTCAAAGTGTGGTTGTTGATTTCATGTTGGCATGGGAAGAGATGAAGTATTCCAGGAACTGTGATTGCTGTATTCTGGTTAGCATTTTTATCAATGACTTAGATAAAGACATCATCAGATGGTACCCTCATCAAATTTTCAGATGACACAAAGTTGGTAGCTAACAGTAAATGGTAAGAATCAGGATCCAAATGGATTTTGACAGACCAGAAAATTGAAATTTAAAATTAAATTAAATTAAATTAGCAGGATAGGGTGAAGGGAAACATACTTAGTTTTTCACAGCATGACTACCATGGAAGTGTTTTTGCATGAGTACACATGTATAACCTGTATCAAGTTGCTTGCCTTCTCAATGAGGATGGGTGGGGATGGAGGGAGGCAGAAAATTTGGAATCCAAAAAAATTTTAAAGCAAAAGTTAAAAAAAATTGTTTTCACATACAACTTAGAAATAAGATACACAAGAAATGGGGTATGGAAATCTATCCTGCCCTACAGGAAAATTGAAGGGGAAAGGGATAAGAGAAGGTGAGGAGAGATAGAAGGGAGGGCTGATTAGGGGTATTCAGAATGCATGCCATCTTGCGGTGGTGAGAGGAATGAGATGGGGAGAAAATTTGGAACTCAAAATCTTGTGGAAGTGAATGTTGAAAACTAAAAATAAATTAATTAATTAAAAATATTAAATTAAATTAAATTTTTAAAAATTTAAAAAATTTAAATTTAAAATAAATTAAAATAAAAAATAAAAGCTGAATTTAAAAGCTGAACTTTAGTAGAGTTAAATGTAAAGTTTTCTATTTAGGGACAAAAACATCAATCTCACAAGTATTAAATGGGAAGAGGAAGCATAGTTAAACTACATTTGTTCCAAACAACAAAAGACATGGAGATGTTGATGAACTGAAAGTCCAACATGACTCAGTAGTATGATGTAGTAGCCAAAAATCTAATGCAACCTTAGGTTAAATTAGGAGGGGCATAGCTGCTAGGGATAGGGAGGTGATAGCCCCACTGTACACAGCTCTCATCTAGAATATTTTGTCTAGGTACCATGATTTAAGGACACTAATAACAAGCATAGGAGTGTCCAAAGGAACCTAACCAAGATAATGAAGGGTCATATGAGTTACATGAGGGTGAACCTATGGAAGAGAAGACTTAAGAAGAATGGGATAGCTTCCTTCAAGTATTTGAAGAATTGTCCTGTGAGGGAGGACTTTGGGGCAGCAATGGATGGAACCATAACTAGTAACAATGGATGGAATTGTAACCAGTAGCAATGGATGGAACAATAACCAATAGCATATTAGCATAAGCCATCCTGATGTCAGGAAAATCTCCCTCCAAATTCCAGAACAGAGAGTTGCCCTTCCTCTGAGGTCTTCAAAAAGAGGCTGCTCATAATCATAGGATCAGTACACATTAAAACCTGCAGATACCTCCCCATTTCACTGATGAGCATCTAATAAGGCATGAAATCTTGCCAGAGAATATAAGTGAAGTAGAAGAAACACCAGGTAGGGACTCAGGAGAGCTGACTTCGTCCCTGGCTCTGACCTTCTGACCTTGTAATCTGGGTGATTTAACCTCTTTGGGCCTCAGATTGCACATCTGCAAAATGGGAATATTGCTATAACAAAGGGTCAGTGTGAAACCACCAAGAATGTGTGAAAAGCATTGAGCAAGCTTTGAAATACCATATAAATGTCAGTTGTTATGAGAAAGCCATCTTTCAGAAAGGTTAAGTGACTTGTTCATATGAACACAGTTAATGAAGGGAGGGGAAGTCTAGGACTCAAACCCAGTCACCCTAAATCCCAGTCTGGCATTCTTTTTACTATAACACATTGCTTCTGATATAGACTAGGATCCAGTAACCCCTAGTTACTTTGAGGGGATAAAAGGTGTTCATTAGAAGCCAGGTTTAACAAGTTTCGTGAGTCATACAGAATTTAATGTTTAATAGATAAACTTAAATAATTGTATCTAGACAGAGAACATCGATCAGATAGGAGCTGTGTGTTTCTGTGTAGGGGTACCGATTCAGAAACTAATTGACAGTCAAACTATAAATCAGAAAAAGACAAATACAGCTTTTATGCAAACCAGCAGCAAGAGGAAGGAAGATGTAAAGGAATTCAAGAGAATATTCAGGCAGCTAATGGGGAATGTTAAGAATGGAATTTAACACCTTTTTTGTGATTGAGTTGTAAGTAGTCAAGGTTTTCTCTCAATGTAGAGAAGATTAAAAACTAACCCCTAAGTAGAAACTGAGGAAAGAGCCTTTGGTACAAAGTTGTCTTGAAACTTTGAAGTTCCAGGAGCTGGAATCATGTTTGTGCTTAGAAAGTACTTCTGGTGACTAAGAAAAGGTTTAGGGAAAATTGGGTGTTCCGATGAAGTCAGAAGGAATACCAGGATCAGATTAAAGAGTGTTTAAGAATGGTTGTCAGTTATTAAAAAAAAAGAAAGAAAGAAAGAAAGAAAGAAAGAAAGAAAGAAAGAAAGAAAGAAAGAAAGAAAGAAAGAAAGAAAGAAAAAGAAAAAAGCTTACTCAATTGCACCGAGTTAAATTTCATAAAATCTCAGAGTTAAAAGTGGCCGTCTAGCCTTGACTTAATGACTTCCAGGGAGGGGGAACCCATCACCTCCAAAGACAGCCCATTCACATTTTTGCAGCCCTATTAGGGTAAAGGCTATGGGACTCGTTGCTTTACATTGGCTGAGGGTGGCTGGGATAGCCAGGTACTCAGAGCGCAACATCTGCACAAGCCACCAGGTGGTGATCCAAGCTCAAACTGCATTACCTTACTACTGCAGAACAGAGATGGGCTGGACCTGGAAACTCCCGATTCCTTTTTAAATCCTTTCACACATGTATCAACAACACCTGCCTTTTCCCTTTCAGTTCCTTAATCTAGGTTTCTCACCAGTCTAAGAATATGATTTAATCCCATAGAAATCCATAATTTGCTTGGATCACATTCCAATTTCCACATAATTTCAATCTCTTTCCCAACTTCAAATGTCCTAAAGAGATTAGTGACTTATATATAGATTAGTCAGGGATATGCTGGAGCAAGCATGTTAAATTAAGTTATCATATTTAATCATTAAATTAAGGATTGTTAATTTTCAGTGTGAGTATTTACACCTCAGAAAATGGCAAATTCTACAAATCAGGGCGTGATTTATTGTTCTGTTGTTGTCTAGACAAGAAAAAAATAGAGAAAATGGTAATAATGCCAATTAAATTTAAAACTGTGCCGTGTACTTTGGAGGAAGGTGGAGAACTGTTAACAAATACTTACTATTATACCCCCATGAAATCAAAACTGAAAAGTATAGCTTTAAAAATTCTCTGTGACTTTAGTAAGTCACAACCATGGATGAAACTTTTCAACTCCAGCCATTCTCAATCTGTAGCTCTGCTTTTTAATATTATCACTAAGATTAAAGTATTTCAAAGGCCTTTCTACCTACTGTGCTTGGGCCTTGAGTTGCAGGTGTGTGGGTTTAAGGAAGAGAAAAAGGTCATGGGATGTTCTCACCATTATCCTATTCAGTCTATCTCACTGGGTGGCCAGAAATGATCATCTACTTTTACCCCTACGGAATTACGAAAAGGGAGACATATAAAGGATGCATAAAAAATGTGGGACTGAAAGAGAAGACGGATGGGTCATATGGTAAGAGTAAGGGATAACTGGTAGTTAATGGTATATTCCATTGATAACTTCATGATATCAAAGCTCAAAGTAGGTTCCCATAATGCTAGATTATTATGAACAATATAAGAATATGGGTAAGACTTACACAGGATGGGAAGGAATAGTGCATCAGTTTACATCATTGGAGAGAATGTATATGTGTGTATGTGTGTATAGATAGATAGATAGATAGATAGATAGATAGATAGATAGATAGATGTCAGTGAGGTTATAGATCCATTGAAGTGAGATCACATTATCTCTCAGCAGCCATACTACACTGTCGACTAATATTAATTTTGAACTTCACCAAAATTCCCAGATCATTTTCAGATGAATTTCTATCAAGGCATGCCTTTACCGCCTTGTACTTATGAAATCAATATTTTGAATACAAGTTAAAACTTTATTTTGTTCTTATTAAGACGGGTAAAAGATGAAATGACTGAGGAAACAAACGTTCAATTTTCTGAGCTTATCAATTTATTAAGCAATACATGCCAATTGGAAAACAAATTGGAATTGAAACAAATTTTTATAAATTAATAACAATTTAATCAAATAAGGTCAATTAATTGAAAGGAAGCAAATAACTTGAGTAATCTGATTTCTAATTAGAGACAAGATTAGGGACTTTCCAAGTTAGGATGGAAAAAGTGAACAGGAACAATTCCCTGAATTAAAAAAAGAGGTGTCTTAATCCCCCCCCCCCGTTTGTAAACAATCAGAAGAACATCGAAACAATAACTGATTGACCAGCACAAAGGCAACTTTCAGAAAAGACATATGGGTCGCTCGAGCTATACAATTGTGAGAAAACTCTTTGGATCTGGTGGAGTTTCTGGTCAGCAAAACGTAGGTCCTTAGTTAAGGGTCTCTAAACAGCAGGTAGAGGTGGTCCAGCTTCCCACTCACACATGGCTAGATTCAAACATTACAGCAAGGTTTTCTCCCAGCTCCCACAACTGAATAAAGTTTTCTCACTAGACAGAATTTTGACTAGACTAGTATTTGGCAACTGAGTCAAAATGGGGAAGGACAAGAGACATTGAGGAGCTGAGGATGACATCTGAATTGTGAACCTGTGTGACTGGGAGGATGGAGCTCAGCCTGAGAAGGGAATCCCAGGCTTGAGGGCTGACTGATGAGTAAACTTAAGTAGCAGAGTTCCCAAGTACAAGGTTTCAGGGGTTCAACTTGCCATAGAGAAGCCGATTTCTTGAGGCCACATGTTCCTTGGAGGAAGAAGAGGATCATCCATGCGGCTCTTTAATAGCATTCTACTGGTACAGCAAAGTCAATGAATCACTTGGACACTGCAGGTCCAGTGGCAAGGGGAACACTTGTTATAACCCTTCCCCTCCATCCAATCAGTTGCCAAATCTCGTTGACTCTACCTCCATGATTTTCTTGCATCTGTCTCTTTTTCCATATACAAGAGATGTTTCAAAGGCAGAGTCAACAGGACTTGGCAATTTGTTCTGCAATGGAACTTTGGATTACATCCATACTAAAGAGTTTAAAGATGGGAGGAGTCAGTAAGAGATGGAGAAGAAAAAGCCAGAAAGACAACTGGAGAATCATGAATCTCTTGCACATGCATTAATGTATGGCACAACAGCCAATTACCAATTTTACTTTTGTCTGCCATTCATTTCCAGGTTTGGATTTACAAAAGCTAATACTCCAGAGACCTGGTTTTTGGGGGTTTTTTTGCTTCTCTCTTCTTAGGTAGTTTACCTATGATTCAGCAGCTGTGCCTTACTGATATTTGGGCTGTGATTTTGTGGTCCATATTACTAGGTCTCCAGTAGCTTTGATTAATTGAATCAAAGATCATAGAATATTTTTTCACTCAGTTATGACTTTTGCTATTAAAATACAACTCTTCAAATAGTGAAAGCATGATCTACTCCTCACTATATTTATTTACAAAGAAAACATACTTAGGGCAACATTTAGAGAAAGGCCATAACAAGAATGGATAATACTGAGTTGATTCAAGATAAGTTGAAAGACAATAAATAAACACCTACTTGGTCTTGATGAGTTTCAGACACTAGACCCAGATCGGCTAAACCAGCCTTCTCACTCTCACTTATATAAGCCATTTTGTTTACCATGTCTATACCTTTGAGCAGGATGTCTCTCCATGTCTGCAAAGTACTCTCTCCTCACCTATTGCATCCCCCTGTTGTCCCTGATCAGTTGTTTTTCAGTTGTGTCTGACTCTTTGTGACTCCATTTGGGGTTTTCTTGGAAAAGGTATTGGAGTGGTTTGCCATTTCCTTCTCTAGCTCATTTTACAGATGAAGAAACTGAGACAAACAGGGTTAAGTGACTTGCCCAGGGTCATACAGCTAGCAAATGTCTGAGGCCAGATTTGAACTCAGAAAGATGAGTCTTCCTAACTCCAGGCCTGGCACTTTATCCACTGTACCACCTATGTGTCCTTAAATCCCAGCTTCCTTCAAAACTCAGCTCAAATACCACCTCCTACAGGAAGCTGATCCTAATCCATTTGCCCCTCCCTACTCAACACCATCCAATCATAAGTTCCCTCCCTCCACAAATTATTCCACATTTATTTTGTATGTATTTTTTTGCATTTAGTTTTCTGCATACATATTGTCCAGCCCTCCCCAGCAGAATATATAAACTACTTGACAGCATGGACTATTTTTGGGGGGTGATACCTTATACCTAGAATAGCACTTGGCAATCTTTGGTACAAAATAAATGCTTGTTGAATGAATGAATGAATCAACTACATTCCAGAGAACTCAAAGAACTGGTATATAGAATTGATGAGCAAATGTGATATCTAAAAAGTCATAGAGAATGGGACAGACACTGAAGGACTGGAGAAAGGCCCATGTTGGGTCAGTAAAAAAAAAAAAAAAAAGATCAGAATAAAAATCTCAATGTTAAGGCCAATTATTTTTTCTTTAGGTCCTGCCAAAATCAAGAATGTATTATTAAGAGGTGATTTTTAAAGAGTTAGTGAGGCTTCATCAAGAAGAAACTAATCTAATTTCCTTTTTTTTTTTTTGAAGGAGTTTCTCAGATAACCTCATTGTGTGGCTGGGAATCATATTGTATGTCTAATCATGTAATACTACAGTATCTAAAGAATTAAGTGGAGAATCATCTGGAGGGTAATAGTCACAGGGTGAGTATAAGTGACCTGTAATATATTACAAACAAGGAATTACAAAGATTGAAAAGGTCAGCAAAAAATGTGATGGAAAAGGATGGTGAAAGCAAAAGAAACTGATGGACAGCCACATACCCCATTGAGATGAATATTGATAAAAGATATGATATTGATAAAAATGAAAGAAGTCCCCTAGTTAATTGAGTGATATTCATGTGGGGAACTTATGGGGGGGACTTGAATCAGAGTCACAATGGATGGGTAAACATGGATAGATTGCTATGTGCATCAATGGAGGGAATACCCACACTGATGATATCACATCTCCATTTGAGGATTAGATATAAATACAGATTGCTTACATAACCCAAACCTCAAAGTCCATTTACATGGGATTCTCTTCATTGGTGGAGATTGATTATTCAATGCTCCATGCCTATGGGAAAGGTGGAATTGGTGAGAATTTGGGAGAGAAGAACAATCCTGGTTTTTTGACTTCCAGCTTCAAGAAAAAAGATACAAAGTTCAAGATTCTCTTCAGGTCCCAGATGGGAAAGATCTATCCTCCCAATTGCCCACATTCACAATTCAGATATTGTCCTCAACTCCTCACTGCCTCTCATCCTCTCCCATTTTGACTCAGTTACCAAATACTCTCATTTCTACCTTTATTACATCTCTCACATATACCCCGCATCTCTTTTCTCACATTACTACAAACCTGGTACAGGCCCCTATCACCTCACATCTGAATTATGGTGATAGCTTTCTGGTTGGCCCACTAAGCTGTCAAAGTCATCTTTCTGAAGTGTAGGTCTGATCATGTCACTACCCCTCCCCATGCACATGTTCAATAAACCCAATTGACTTCCAATTATCTCTACAATCAAATATAAAATCCTGTTTGGCTTTCAAGGCCTTTCATAACCTAATTCCTTCCTACCTGTCCATTCTTTGACACTTTATTCCCCTCTGCATACTGTACAAACCAGTGACATTGGCCTCATTGCTGTTCCTCCCACAAGACACATTATCTCCCAACTCCCTTTGTTTTCATTGACTGATCCCCATGGCAGGAATACTCTCCCTTCTAACTTCCACCTCCTGGCTTTCCTGACTTCCTTCAAGTTTCAGCTCAAAACCCACCTTTTTCGAGAAGCCTTTTCTAATCCTCCTTAATGCTAATGCTCTGAGATTGTCTCTAATTTATCCTATTTGTAAACAACTGTTTGCATATTGTACCCCCATTAGAAAGTGAGATCCTTGAGGGCAGGGACTGTTTTCTACCTTTCTTTGTATCCCTAACACTTAGCACAGTGCCTGGAACATAATAAATTCTTAATAAATACTTGTTGCCTTGATTAAGCCCTCTTTCTACTGCATATTCTCTCCTTCGTGAGTTCATCTACTCCTGTGCCCAAAATGATTGCTTCTATGGAGATGGCTTTAAAATATAAATATCAACTCCAAATATTCCTTAATATTCTAATCCCAAATTTCTAAGCATTTGATGGCTGCCTCCTGCTGAATGGACCACCTGTACTTCAAATCTACATGTTTAAAACTGAATTCACCTTCCTGTCATTTCTTATCACTGCTTTTGGACTTCTCTAGACCTCTCCATCATGCCCTCCTTCACCAGGAAATCCATCATTGGGAAATCTCATTATGCTACAAGATCTCACACACACACACACACACACACACACACACACACACACAAACTAGCACTTTTTCACCTTCCTTTTCTACATTGTCTTCCCCCAGTAGATTACAAATTCCTTGAAGGCAAGAAGTATCTTTGTTTATATTTGAATTATGTGTTATGTTAGCCTCCAGGATGTAGCACAGAGCCTTACATAAAGCCAGTCAATCAATATTTTTAAGGGCCTCCTGTTGAGAACTCCAAGAAAGGTAAAAACACATTCTCTGCTCTTAAGGAACTCATAATCTGGTGGGGGAACATTTAACAAATCTTTGTCAAATTAAGTAGGAAGACACCAAGATATTCTCAAGATACCACGATACCAGTTTTTATGCAAACAATCCTATAAAGGAAAAGCCTTTCTATGGCCTCTCCAGCTACCTCCTTTCCAACTTATCTTTAGATTGGTGGAAGACAAGAGGAAAGCATATAACAGTTCTGAACCTGAATATGAAGACATTATTTAACTGTTAAAATATTCTTCCCTTTTCCAACTATATATCTGTGTGAAGTCAGATTACCTTCATAGACTTCAACCAAAACAACATATCGCAATAGATTGCATGAAGAAGTAAATAGGAGAATTCAGCTATTTTCTATTAAGTTAGACATTTAAAGACATTCACAAGAATATGTAAAATAATACTACTCTTCTGACTAAATTTTTGTTTTAAAAAAGTTATTTTTCATAAAAACATTATGTTAACATGAAATAGTTTATTGTTATATTTAAACAGTTTAGTAAATAAATATTTTAAATTTTTTTGTGTTATTTTCTAATAGTGTAAGTATCAATAGATACATAATTCACATAAATAAAAGCTCTTTGGGGGGTTCTCAATAATTTTTAAGGGTAGAAAGGGGTCCTGGGAGCAAAAAGCTTCAGAACCATTGTCCTATACTACTTTACCCAATATGATGGCAGGCACTGTGTCAGTAGAGTCACTCAACTGAGTTACTGAGCATATATTTAATTTATCTGTTTGACTCCTAAGATTATATTACTTGGTAAATCTCCAAATGATAAAGAAATATGGGTTGTTATTACATCATGTAGCTGAGGATGGTAGTGCTACAGAAGACAATTATCAACACAGTTGTACCTATATCATGTCAAAAACATCCCATTGATTCAGTGGAGGAAAAGAAGTCTTATAAACTGGTTGTTGGCTTACTGTTACAATCTCTCCTACCAGACTCCTCCTTTCATTTCCCATTACCATCATGCTAGTCTAAGCCCTGGTTATCTTATCTTCCTCACTGGTCTCTGCTTCCAGTCTCTCTCACCTTCACTTCAATCTCCATATGACTAAAAGGATCGAGTCCTTATCCATAGACTTAGTCATGTCACTTCTTTGCTTAAAATCCTTTCATAACTTGCTGACCTGGTGTTTGAAGCTCTTCACCATCTGGCATTCCTTGCTTTTCCAATCTTTATCTAACTCTACTCCCTTCAAAATACACAACTTGTCAGCCGAACTAGGCCATTCTCCATCCTCCAAACATATCCCATACTTTCCACCCTTCCCTGTACTTGTTCAGGCCTTTTCCTGTTCTTAGAATGTCTTTTGCCATTATGGCCATCTATTGGAAGCATACTTATCTGTCTCTGAGCTTTCTCAGTTAGAAATGGTTGTTTCTTCAGATCTTGCATAGCACTGAAGCATGTACAACTTCAGTGACTTCTGGTCTTCTTCAAAGTGTGGTTATTGGTGCCAATATGTTATCTACAAGCTAAGCAGCCTCTCTGAATCTGTTTCCCTATTGGTAGGCAGCAGGGGGCTCCGAAAGAACTCAAGGGATTCCCTTTGCTCCTCTTCCATAAGACAGGAACAAGCCTAAGGAATAGTGCAAACTTTAAAGCACCAAACAAGTGTTGGCTATTATGACTATTGTGTAATGCTCTCAGTACTGACTAGGTGTTCAATAAATGGCTGTTAAACTGAATTCATTTATTTAAAAAAATATGCTAAAACAAAACCAAAGACTAGGAACTTGTAATGATTAGTCTTGACCCTAGAGAAGAGATGAGCAAATGCACACCTCTGTTCTCCTTTTTAGGGAGGGACGGGGGTGTGGGAAGAGATAGCTTTGAGTAGAATATTGCCTACACTGTCCAATGTAGTTGCAGTGTGGGTTGGTTTTACTTAAGTGTTTTTCTCTGTTACACAGGAAGGCGGAATGTTATATCTAGAAATGACTGTGATACAAAAACAAAAGACATCAATAACATTTTGGGAGATTTTAAGGGGATGGTGTAGGAGGAAACATGAACAAAGACAAGGAGATGGGAAAGATCATGGTATGTATGGAGGATTAAGTCTGCATTGGAATTGCTATGAGACTATTGTGCATACCAGCCAAGCAAATGTAGTGCTTTGACTATTGTTGACTGATTTGAATGCGAGAGCATCAAGAGAAAGGCGAGACTCGGGCTAAATTAAAATGGATACAATGAACTATATTATCTCAATTCATATCAAATGCTACCATATTAGTTTTTTTCACTCAATTTTATTTTATTTTCAGATCTGCATTCTTTACTTCTCAGTTCTCACCACCATCACCATCACCACTACTCATAAGAAAAACAAAACTCCTGTTATAAACAAATTTCCTCTGTAACTATGTCTCAATCTGCACTCTGACTCCTTCACCTATCAAAAAGTGGGTAACGTTTTTATTCTTGAGTTCTCTGGAATTGTGGTTGGTCAAAGTTCCTAAGTCTTTGAATGTTAATTATCTTTACAATATTGCTGTTATGTATATGCACAAAATATGCATGGCATGTACAAATTTTTCTCCTGACTCTATCCACTTCATACCAGTCCTCCCAGGTTTTGTGCAACCATACCCTCCATTTCTTATAGCACGAAAGTATGTGATTACATTCATATGCTATAACTTGTTCAGTCATTCCTTAATTGATGGGTATTTCCATTTCTTTGGCATCTCAAACAGAAGTGCACTAAATATTCTTGTATGTATAAGTTCTTTTACTCTTTCTTTGATCTTTTTGGGTGTAATTCTAGTAAAGATATTGATGAGTCAATGGATATGCACAAGTTAACAGCTTTTTGATCAGAGTTCAAATTGTTTTCTAGAGTGGCTAGGCTACATTCACAACTCCACCAATAGTTCATTATTATATCTGTTTTCCCACAGCCTTTCCAGCATTTCTCATTTTCACTTTTGTAAACTTTTACCAGTTGGATGGGTTTGAGGTAGAACCTCAGAGTTGCTTTAATTTGCATTTCTATGATTGTTAGTGATTTGGAGCATTTTTTTCCATTCAACTATTGATAACTTGGATTCCTACCTCTGAAACTGGCCATTTAAATCTTTAACCATTTATCAATTGTAGAATGGCTCTTATTCTTATAAATTTGAATCAGTTCTCAATATTTCTTAGAAATAAGACCTTTATAAGAGAAATTTTCTGAAAAGTTTTTTTCCCTATTTACCTGCTTTGCTTCTCATTTTAGCTGTGTTTGTTTTGTTTATGCAAAAACAAATTTATTTTATTTGTGCAGACATTTGAGTTTTTGCAAATGACAATATTCAAATAGATTTTCCTTTTTACAAGAAAAAGTTGGGAATGTTGAGGAAGGGAAATGTTGAGGAAGATGGATGAACTGATGTAGAAGGGAAAAAAGCAAAACCAAGAGAAGAATAAAAGTCATTACACAAATGAAGTGGTACAGTGAAAAGAGCACTGGCCCTGGAATCAGAAGGCCAAGGTACGAATCCTATGTACAATGCTTATTACCTAGGTGACTTGGGAAAAATCATGTAACAGCTTTGTACCTCAGTTTCCTCATCTATAAAATGTATGGCATTTGTGAAGCCTATATCACCCTGTTAGGTAGGTAATACCTAGAGCAACTGATCCTAAGAGAACAGTATTAAAAGCAACAGAATTCGGGGTAGGAAAAAAAAAGCAGCCAATACTGGTTCCAAAGGAATGTTAGAACACCCTCCTTCCCTTTATGTTTTATATATCACATATCTAATATAGTATAATAAACTATAAGAGTAGAATGTTAACTGATTTATCAGTCCCAGTTGCCATGATTGACATTTCTACACAACTATTTAAATATTGGGAGTTTGGAACAGGAAAATGTAGTCTTAAGGTTATTCAATGAAGAGCTTATTCATTGCCAGGTACCATTAAAATGGTCAGCTAGATGGCACAGTGGGTAGAGTTCCAGGCCTGGAGTCAGGAAGATTTATCTTCCTGAGTTCAAATCTGGCCTCAGATACTTACTAGCTATGCAACCCTGGGCAAGTCACTTAACCCTATTTGCCTCAGTTTCCTCATCTGTAAAATGAGCTAGAGAAGGAAATGACAAACCACTCCAGTGGCTTTGCCAAGAAAACCCCAAATGGGGTCACAAAGAGTTAGAAACGAGTGAAAAACAACTGAACGACAACCATTAAAAGTGCTTACCAGTACGATCATTCTTGAATTAAGTTGAGGGAAGAATTTTTTACATCCACAATTACAGATAAATTAATAAAATCCACTGAATTGCATACATCCAATGAGAGGCAGTGCAGTGTAGTGAAAGCATATGGGAATTCAGATAGAGTTGTTGTTATTGTTCAGTCACTTCTGACTCTTCATAACCCCATTTGGGGTTTTCTTGGCAAAGACACTGGAGTGGTTTGCCACTTCCTTCTCCAGTTCATTTTACAGATGAGGAAACTAAGACAAACATTAAGCAACTTGCCCAGGGTCACACAGCTAGTAAGTGTCTGAGGCCAGATTTGAACTTAGGTCTTTCTGACTCCAGGCCCAGCACTCTATCCACGGCACCATCCAGCTGCCCTAAGATATAATACCTGCTCTCAATTCCTAACTGTGTTACTTACCAACTGCTACTTTGAGCATTCATATCCTTAGGGTTCAGTTTTCTAATTTATAAAATGAGGAGGTTGGACTCCATTTCCAAGGCCTTCTCAACTCTTAGGTTCTGTTATTGTGTAGTCCAATGTAACCCCTAGGTGTTCCTGTATAGCCCAATTATCTGTGTCCTCATCACAACTTTCCAACCAGAAAGGGGCCAGGTTGAAAAAACAAATAGCACCCCATCTCTTCCTCTTGGAATTATGCTAGCAAGACTTTCACTCCTCCAGTCTCTCCTCTCTCCTTCCTTCTCCATTTCTTCCCTCTTTTCTCTTTCCCTTCCCCTTTCTGTTCCACTTTCTCTTCCCCTTCTTCTTCTTTTTCCTTTCCTTCTTCCTTTTATCCTCCTCCTCCTCCTCCCTTCTTCTCCTCTCTCTCCCTCTCTTTCTCTTTCTCCCCCTATCCCACCTCCAATGGATTCGTTCTCTTCCAGGGAGCCAAACCAAGGTGATTACAACCATAAAAATGAAAGATAGGCTCATTGTTTGAGGGGAAGAGAGAAAAAGAAATTCCAAGTTTTAACTCAGTTCTACCCTTGGGAGTTTAGCCATGAAATATATGATAAATGTCCCATAAAACATGTCTCCAAATAATCTTCACTGTCAAATCAGGAATTGGGCCCTATCCTATATATTCTGTGAAATATGAAAACCTCCTCAGAACTACTCCACTTTAAGCAACTCAAATGGGATTTACAATTGTAACTAGCAAAACAATGGAAAATAAATCTTTTACCTAAACAAATCAAGCTTAGTGAAAAACACCATTGTACAATGATGATCTTTATAAAGGTCACAGGAAACTCCAGGGGGAAAATCTTCATCTTGAGAGTTGGAGGGAAGGAAAGAAGGTAAGCAAGACAACACTCTCAGCTATTTTCCTTCATAACCAATGAGGAACAAATATTCTATTACTCGTGCTTACTTCTAGATGCTACGCTCTAGTTGCTGCTGCCATACCTGCCTTCCTCCGACATCTGTCTTACTCAAACTGTCTCTCTCTTTCCTTCTCCCTTCCTCATTATAAAGCTACAAAATTTCATACTTTTGTCTCAAAGCCCATCACTGTCTAGAATCTCACAGGTTCCCAAAGTTGGCAATACCACTCCCTGGAGGGTGCTAGAACTATCCAGGGAGTGGTAGTAGTTTCAGGTGCAATTGGGGGGGTGTTGAATAAAAATAAGGGGGCAATGGAAGAACAAGAAAAGAAGAGAAGAAAAGACAATTTTGAAAAACTGTTCATACATGTTTCATCTGTTGTGTAACAGAGTTAAGGTTGTAATGATTACATTATTTTCCAAATAAATATACAAACTGCAAGTCATAGCAGATCAGTGGTCAAGTCTGCCTACAGGTCTTAACAAGCAAGTTTTGGCAGGTGAACCTAGCATGAATTTTCTGGAAGTCCAGAATGGGTAGGCAGGATATGTATGTGTAATGACTTGTTTGCAATAAGATATTGTACAGTTACATGATGCAATATTGTGTCATCAAAATGTCAGTGCAGTAAAAAAAACTTACAGATTTACAATGAATTATTAAATGAACATGTGTCATATTTTTTAAAAAATATATTTAAAATTTTTTGAAAAGACACAAATTTAAAAAAAAAAGTAAAGGATTAAAGAAAGTAGACTTCCATGGGGGCACTGAGTAATTTTTCTTTTTGAAAAGGGGGCAGTAGGCCAAATAAGTTTGGGAACCTCTGGTCTAGATGGACTACTCCCTCCCCACCCCCATCTGATTAGTCCCCTGGAAGCTTGTGGGAGAGGCCAAGTTACTAGCTGTGGTAGGGAGATATTTAAATAGGAAATTTAGCATTATTGCTTATCCAATCAAAAAAGCCCAAAACTTAAATTTCAGAATAACAATGGGGAAATATATTGTCTTAGAATAAGAATAAAATTCTCTAAAATTAGGGGAAAGAAGCTGAATGATAGTCTTTCTTTTAAATTTCCAAGTGCTCTAATTTGAATTTGGTTTTAGTTCATTTACATCCAGTGAAACTAGCATGGGAGACAGAAGGAGGGGGAGAGCTGACCAAAGAAAAAGGTTTTTCTCCTGATTGATTAGCCTGTGGCTAGTGAAAATGTAAAATTCCCCAAAGGTCATAACACATATTAAACATTGATGACATTTCCTGTGCTATCATGAATAGCTGGGTGGAGAAGCACTTCCTTCCAACAGTAAACTCTTCAACAAATTGGAGGCTTGGCACCCAGCAAGAAAAAGCAACAGGGACAGAGGCCAGTCTCCCAGCAGGCTTTGCTGCCTACCCAAGCTCATAACACTGAAGTGTGGAGATTAGGAAAGGTTTAGGGGTGAAGGGAAAGGGGTATGAAGAGAGGTTGAATTTAAGCAGAATCCAAAGTGGTCTTTGGCTGCTGAAAACTTAGAAAAACATCGTTGCCCCTAAAAACCTATACATGGATTTTTCAGGCATTTCCCGAAATTCGATGAAAAAAAATAATAAAGCTTGGGCAGATTCTTCCCGAGAAAAATAACACATGTCCCATAATCAACCCAGTTCCTCCTCAAGCTCCACAGAAACCAGCTGTC